CAGCCAGAGGTAGGAAGGATTTCCTGTGGAGAGACTCAGTAGAACACCAAGAACGAACAGAAGTGACACATGGGTAAAGGGAGAGAAAGGTATCATAGTGGTGAATACATCCAAACAAAGCTGAGAGGTAAGACCCCAGGACTGAATACAGTCTGAGCAGGGCCTGGGCACAGGAAGAAGGAGGGACCCAAGGAAGCGAGTCAAGGAAAAGACGCTCATGGTAGGTAGCCTAGGAAAACTGGCAGTAGCCTGGCTTCCACAGGGGAGAGGGAAATGGCTGAGACGCTGCACAGAGGACCTGAACTGTGGGAGCCAGAGGTTGCTTGAGGCAACGTTAAAAGGCTTCAGACACAGGAGGACGCTGGCCAAGCCTGTGATCAGGAACTCCAGTGATGGATGTACTAGAGGCCCTTGGGCACCTCAAGCCCTGAATGGGTCAGCAATTCTCCATCCCAAAGGGCAAAGGCAGGTACCACTGGGCCCTGGAAATCTGTCCGCAGCGTGTGGACCACAGCCACCCGGCTCACATCCACCAAGCTCAGCTTCTGGGCCTCATACTCCAGCAGCAGCCCCACCTTCTCTGGATGCCCGATGCCCTCAATAGGGGCCTTTTCGTTGGCCAACATGGTGTGCCACTTGCGCTGGGCATAGGTGAACACCCAGGAACGGACATCCACTCCGATGCAGCTGTCCCGAGAAATGTCCACATCGGCCACCCCGACCCGGAACTGCTGGGAGCGCTTCACCGTCACCTCCCAGTAGTGCCTGCCACTGGTGACCGCGGTGTCAGCCAGCACCACCGCCCACTCCCGGAAGCGCTCCACGTTCAGGGCCAACTGGGTGGGCTCCAACCCCACCATGCCGTATTTGACACCTGTGTCACCTTTGAAGAGCGCCAGGCTGCTGTGAGCGGTTTTCTCTTCCAGTTTGAAACTGACGCCTGCGGGCAGAGCAAAGACACTGGGTGATGGCAGGGGCTCCCGCCCTGGAACTAGAGCTAAAGACACGGAGACGCTCTGAAGCAGGCCGGCATGAGGTCACGGAGAGGCAGGGAAGTCAGCATGCGAGCGGGCCAGGGAGCGGGGTGCTGTACATAGGCAGCCCCGGAGCCAAAAAGCTCCGGCTGGCAAAGCGCTAGGTTTTAAAGAACCTAGACAGTGTCCTAGGTTTGGAATCGCAACACCAACGCAGGTGGGGCGTGGACAAGCTCTAGGAGTAAGAGACGGAAACAGTTTTGAGGTAAAAGAGAGTAAAAGGAGGTAACCCTACCTCTGCGGGCTTCTGCGGCAGCAGCCCCCAATCGTTTGGCTCCCCAGCGGCAGAGGCAAGGCGAACGTGCAAAGGGCAGCGCCATCTTGCGCCCCGGAAGAACAAGGTACAACTCCCGACCTGGGTCCCTCCCTCGGCCCGCCTGCTTCCGCTCGCACTCGGGGCGCGAGAAGCTGTCGCGCAGGGTGATGACGTAAGAGAGCCAGCGCCCCGGAGGGAGCCGCCATTTTAGTGAGCCAGTGGCGGCATTGGTTTTTTCTGTGGGAAGGAGTGCTGCTCACGTTTTAACTGAATAGGACGAGATGATATAGCAAGATGGTTACAAGTGATTGTAACATTAAACAGTAACTGGACTCGAACCCGACTCCGCTGTATGGCTTTAGACAAATCACTTCTCCGAGCTCTAGTGTTCTCACTTTTTTAATAAAAATATCCAACCGACAGAGCCAGCGCTGGCCCACGGCCCCGGCTCCATGAGCGGCCTCTTCGGGCGCGCCGCGCT